ATGTTCTCTCCTGGGTCAGATTATGAAAGTTAGCCATGTGTTCAGTAGCCTGAAAGTTGAACTAAAACTGGAGAGACCTAATGAAGCCATGAAATGCATAGGATGATTTTGAACTGTCCACTATCAAACCTATCTCACCAAATTACTGCAAAGAAAGACAGGAGGATGAAGAAGAAGCCTGTACCTCATCTTGAGCTTGTTGAAAGAAAGTTATAAATGTAAAGCATAAATAAATAATGTCATGAACACTAATGCCAGCAGCAACAACAACAAGACGTGTTGGATATAAGTACAGTCTCTCATTCTGATTTATTTGGAAGAGTAGCTGTGACAGTTTATTTTCATAAGTTTTAATGCACACTTTGTTTAAACATTACAGTTTTTAAATAAAGAGCAATCATATTTTATTATTTTAGTTCTACTTTCATCCTCTGCGGACCATAACACTTGCTCTTTTGCAAGATCAAAATAAAGAAAGCTAAACATGCTTGTTTAGAGGAAGTACTATTTCAAGCTAAGCAAATATACATTGTGAACACTGAAGACAGTTTGCCTTGTTTATCATTTCTGTAAATGCAGTAGAGAAATGTGGAGCCTGAAATGTGGGAAAAAAATAATAGATTGTTCTGCCACCTATTGGCATGTTCATGAAATCCTTTTGAAAATCACCGTGTTTTCACAAGTCAAGGTCCCAAAGGATCATTTGGATGTGTTTTCCAAAAGATGCACTTAACGGCTCTTCATGTATTCTTTTTTAATATTTGTTTGGAAATGTTTTGTTCTGTTTAAGAGCATATTTGCATCTCTCTCTCTCCTACTAGTCTTGTTTCTGCCAATCTTTGCACTGTAAAAATCCTGCAGACAGACAGTATTCTGCAGTTCTACTAATTTCTTTTCTTTTTGAAAGGGAAGAAAGAAATGGCATAAGTGGAACTCCCAGACATCATACGTGTGAACTATGTCCACATTGCTTGCTATCATCGCCTCTCCCTTTCTTCTCAGTTCTGCCTATCCCCAATCTGCTCATTCTATTTATTTAAATTAAAACTTTATGCTACAATTTATCCTGGAAAGTTCTACATACACATGAATCATCATCATCATCATCATCATCATCATCATCATCACCATCATCATCATCATCACCACCACCACCACCATCACCATTCGTTCCTGTTCTCTAACAGTTCCATTCACCAATGTCATGCAATTGCATTATAACAAAGAAGGTAAAGACTGAGCAGAACACCCACTTCATTTCAGAAGCATTTAGACACCAACAGAACTTCTGAAAGTAGCACACAAAGACGTGACTGTTTCTCCTTAAAGGCACTTCTGCCAGAGCAAAGGCAAATAATGAAATGATAAAGACACTGGATTTGGAAACATGACCCCAAATGACCCTCCTTTTCTGTACCTCCTTATGCCACACTTTCATGCTGGGGAATAAGAAATGAATTATTTTTAGCAATCTGATTTTAAAAATAAAAATAAAGAAAACTATAACATTTGCAATACTTTGAGCTTGCCACTCTGTGTCCAAAGACAATAGTAAGCTACATTGAGTGCTTCTACAATGTACAAAGGCTTCTAAAGGCAATAATGCAGCAAATGTGATTTTGCTTTTAGATTCAGAAAGTGAGATAAGTGGTTTAGTACTCCTTTAAACTCATGGCCATTAAATGCATTTTAGCCATCCCAGTACTCTATTGTTTGTGGACTGCTCACCTGACCAATGTCATCCAAGACTACCTCTCCAAGCACTCTGAACTGTGCTAATTGATCTCTTAATTGGCTCAGTCAACACAGCAGACTCCATCGCACAACAAGCACTAATTGCTACAAGCTTGCTTTTGAAATGTTAAGTACCTTGAAGAACAAGCTTCCTGCACTGACTCTGCATTGTAGGTTTGAGGAGGCAGATTAATATGGGGGCTTTTATCTCAGAACACTGTCCTGCTTTCTTTCCCACATTCATTCTTTCTTCCACACTACCTACATATTTCTAGAATTTTTTTGTAGAAGTATGAAACTATCATAAGTGGGTTTGATTTTTTAAAAAATTGTATGCTGCGGGTAAATTTAGGCATCCATTACTGATGATGGTGGTGATGGTGATGATAATGATTTTACCTCTTCATTCTAAATTTATACTTAAATTAATGTTTTTATAGGTAGGCACTCCCATTCTCTCATAGTAAGTCAATTCAGTTAAATTTTTCATCAGTAATTTTGAAGTTCTGCCAAAAGCAGACAAATGGCCTAGTTTGAAACATAAATGAGTCGAAAAGGTAAATTACAATCATTTAGTTTTTATAATGTAACTAAAACCATTAAATGAGGACAGCTTAATGGTATTTTTACTGTGACAGATCTGAATGTTAACCTGATAGACTCTGTTCCTCACCTAAGATATTATCAAAATAGCCAGTTTAATGGCAGTAGATGGCAAATATTTTTAAGTGTTTTTTTTTCCCTGGTTGCAGTTTGGCAGGAGGATCAGTAAAAAGAGAACACTGGCTAGTAGTAAATTTAACCTGTCTTCTATAGAGAAGGTCCAAATTTAGTGAATGTTACAGTACTGTGCTGGCAGAGACCTGTGATAACCATGACCTATTGCATACGTCTTCACTTCCAAGGTGCTTCTAAGGGCACTCTGAAACCCTCTATTTATATGGCAGTTTGCTTCAGAAGGGTTGGTTCTGAGTAGGGCTGTTCTGTTCTATCTTTGGAACAGGCTCTCAGGCCTGTAGTCAATATTGTTTGGTTGGACAGGAATGTCTGAATATGGTGTAAAAATCTGCATGTGGTCATGACTGTGGAGAAATTCAGAATTGCAATTTTCTGCCTAATTTGGGGGTGGTGAATCAAAAAGCAGGAAAGTGCATTCTCTAAAACTCTGAAAAAGAAAGTTCTTCTGAGAAAGTTTGGATTTATTAAAATGGAATGAAACTGCATTATCAATTTATACCAGGGATCAGAAATATGGGGCTTATGAGGGCCAAAACAACAGTGATACCCCAGATGCCATTTAAGACTCCCTGAAATACCCCAGATATTTAGCAACTATGTCATTGCATAATATTGTGTGATGGCTTCGGAGGCATGAAAAAGTTGTCCACACATGGCTTTGACTGGTAAATGAATGAAGCAATTGCCAAGGAAGAAGACTGAAAGGAGTAGGGGCTAGCCCATTATCTCCTTTATCAATATTAAAATATATTGGACTGGATCTCAGTTTTACTTAAAATTATCTATCCCATTTGCTAGTTGTAAAAGTAAGCAGTGGGAAAATCACAGTAAAATTCTATTAAAAACTGATGCATGACTATTCTACTAAATTTACCAGGCTTTGAAAGGTGGGTTCCAGGCCCAGCTCACACTAGAGTTTATTACCTATAAAGCTAAAAACTATTAAGCAATGGACGAGTTGTAGGTGCACCATCACTGGAGGTTTTCAAGAAAAGACTGGACAGCTATTTGTCTGGGATGGTCTGAGGATTCCAGCCCTGGGCAAGGTTTGGACTAGAAGACCTCCAAGATCCCTTCTAACCTTATGATTTTTTGATAAAGCCTTATACAGAATGGCACTGGGATATATCAGGTTCCGCCTTACTAAATATGATTCTTCCCATTCAAACTGAACATCTAGAAGGTCCTGCCAAAGGTCCTATGAGAAGTCAAGGAGTTGATCCAGAAGGCAGTAGTAGCCTCCACACTTTGGAACACACTGCCCTGAGAGATACACTTGGCCCTACTGTGCTGTCTTCTGGAAGGTCCTTAAAGTTATTTTGTTTCAATGGGTTTTCAGACCTTAGGATGATTGGTAGGTAGCCATCTGTTATTTTTTGTTTTTAAATTATTTGAGGTATTTTGAATTTTGGTTTTGTCTTCCATACACTACTAATTTCAGTTGGGGTGGAATACAAATATTGTAAAACAAGCAAACAATCAGACAGGTAAAAGGATGCTTATGGATAGTTACTTCTCCCAAAGGCCCCTCAAGCCTTAGGTGAGTCTATGAAGCTGAACTGAAAGTGTTGTGGCCATTATGTGAATTGCACTGGGACAAACTGAGGGATGTATAACATGTTTTAAATATTTCAGCCATTCTGTATTCTGTGTTCAAAATAAAACACAGGTTTTTGGGTGTTTTTGTTTTGATAACAAAAAAAATGTCCATTTTCAATGCTCTTTTAGATGTCAGAATATTGTCTTGCTTCTTGCAATTAAGTGCTGTTTTTGTTTTTGTTCTTTTTAAATCCTGTCTGGACCAGTACAGCCAGAGGGATCAGTCATATCTCTGATGCTATGTATGCTGTTATAAGGGTAGCGATTTAGAACAAAGCAACAAGTATTTGAGAAGCACATGGCACAGTGTGGGAGCCATTTTGGTTCTGACCATAGCTGGAGAAAGAGCTACAGGGGAAACTGTTGCAAGGAACTTATGGATTTTGGGATTCAGTGCTGATGATTCTGCTACTGTGAAAACTAGTGATGGCTGGTGAGTTCTCGAAAAGTTCTCTGTGAGAATAACTTCCTTTAGTTTAGTTGGCAGAATGAATAATGGCTCTCTTGGAGCTTTTGACCTGGGTACATTTGAAAAAGCAGTAACTGGTTGGTAGCCTTGCTTAGACTATGGTATTTCCTTATATTTTTGTTCATGGATATTTCCAAATACATGCAAAAATGCTAGTTGATTTGATGTGTGGACTCTTTTCATGCTGCTGCTGTGGACTATTGGTGCAATTCATGCTAATTTTACTGCAAAGGCATGTTTGAACCTTCTTATTGGTTTGACCTGCTTGCTGTGTTTGTCTATCTCTTTAGCAGTTCAAGTGTTAACCGAAGACTTGTTTTGCTGAGCGAAGGTGTGTGCATGACTCATTATTATTTCAGAATGTTTTAAGATGTGTAAATACTGTCAGCTAGTGGGGGTGGGGGGTGGATACCTGTGTGTATATTTCCCACACGTATTGTCCTTCTTTCTTTCTTCTGATATTCTCATCTCACCAGGCTGGAACTGAAATTCTTTTTGTGAAAATTTCACGGAAAAGAAAGTGAGTAATATTTGTAAAACTTGAGGCTAAATTTGCAAAGTCAATACTGAGTAGAGGAATAGTGACTATGTTCCTCACTGTCTGCAAAGTTAGGTTCAGATTAAGAGGCTTAGTCTCAAACACTTTTAAAAAAAACCCATTTATGTGAAAGGGCTGATTAGAACATTATTTTCGGCCATAAGATACTCCTATCCTGGAAAAAGAGGCAATTGGTTTGAAAAGGGTATGTAATAGATTAGGTCCTAGGTTTGCATACTAGAAGTAGCAGTAGCAACAGCAGCAACAACTACCACCTAATCTCTCCACACATTCCTTTCAATTAGCATAACCTCCGGGCAAACGAAGGCTATGTGAGTTCAAGGAAGGCATCCCAGGAAGAAACAAATTGCTTTTTTTAAAGATTTTTTTTAAAATCGCACCTTTATTATTTTTATAAGTAACTCAAGGCGGTGAACATACCTAATACTCCTTCCTCCTCCTATTTTCCCCACAACAACCCTGTAAGGTGATTTGGGTTGAGAGAGAGGGACTGGCCCAAAGTCACCCAGCCGGCTTTGATGCCCAAGGCGGGACTAGAACTTACAGTCTCCTGCTTTCTAACCTGATGCCTTAACCACTAGACCAAACTGGCTTTTTTCAATGAGAATTTTAAAAAATGTTTTAAAGCAATCTCTTTTGCTAATTTTCTACAACATGGTCAATGGGTGATAGTCAGCTTGAGCTTCTATCCCATTCTTGTGGCTCTGAAAAAGAAATGAGCAAGAGGAAGCTTGTTCTAAGTTCCCCCTTGTTTCCTGTGACTGAAACACTTGAACTTTTTTGAGTTTTGTTCTAATGAAATGCAGCCAACACTAAATGTTCCAACAGAACATAGCTATTTATTTTATTATTACTCTGAGATTGAAACAGAATGCAGTCTTAACTGTGTGCTCCATCGTAGACTCATTTTCACATAACTACAAGTTGTAGCAGCTTTGATATATGGTATTCAATGTTTTCTTCTACAAACAGTAAAAGCTACACAATATACCTGAACTGGGTAACCTGCACCTCTTGACCTAATTACATGCATCCCTCTGTCAAATTTTTAAATCCCTCTGAGATCAGCTCAGAATTCTGGTTAGAGTGATCTCTAGTTCAGTTTGCTGTAGGGCCCTTAACTGTTTATTCCTAGGAATATGTCACAAAAATCAATGGGTGTACATAAAGGAATATTTGAAGCCCCTATTCACTCATGAGCTTACGAGTAGAAAGTTTATATGCATTTTTTTCCACAGGCAGCCATAGTTACATGAATTGGTTTTTATGTTGTTACTCTGGTCTATCATCAAGTGGTCTTGCAACACGTGAAAACAGCTGCTCCATATCTTGGCAGCTGAGATCTTTTAGACTGACATTTGTTAATATTTTCTTAAATCTTCTAATGTTTCCAGTTAATTATATGGCTAATGGACATTCAATATTTGTTTAGCTCCCCCACCCTCTACTTGTTGACCTATGCTGCGTGTAAAGTATTTCCAGCAAATATAACCTGTGATTTTCCTTTGATTGATGTTATTAATTGCATTGACTGACACAATCCTTGGAAGAGTGGGAATTATTTCACAGAATGTGTACTGTATGGTTTTTGACCTTATTGTTCGTACGTTTTATTTAAACCTGAGCTAAGTTCACAAAGGTAACTATTGTGAGCTATCAGGAAATGACAGACTAAATTTTGTGGCTTTTATTTGTTTATCTGTTCCCAAGTGCTATAGCAGTTGAAATAGGCAGACTATATAGAAGCAAACTCTACATTTCTCCTTTTCACTTTCACACCTCTGACATTCATGCAACAGATATGTTACTTAGTAACAGGTTCGATTTAAAAAAAAAATGAGGTAGATCCCATGCAAATGATCTAACAAAACAAGTATTATAAAATGTAACTTTATTTTGGCTCCCAAAATAACATCCTAAATCCATGAGTTGTTTTGTACATGCAGACCTTACTTCAGGACAAGAGGTGACATATTTTGATCTATAGCAGGGATCAGTATCATGCTATCAATGTATATCAGGTATCCCATCGTTCCTGAAAAATAAGGCAACTCAAATGAAGAGAAGAGAAATTTTCTGGAATTTAGCCATTTTTATGGGATCTTGTAGGAGAATTCGGAAATCTCAAGAGAGGGGCTTTCAGCATTCACACATAAGATCTTGATTGCTGAAATCTTCTGAGATTGAGTGATTTCCCAAGATTTCAAGCAAAGTATAAATCTGTATATAGAAGCTCTAGAACTGGGAAGACTGGTAATGCTGATATAGGTACCTGAATGCTGACATGTTTTCCATGATTGTTTTTTCTCCACATTGAGTTGCTGAAAGAAAATGTTAGGAACTTTAGAGCACGCTATCTACTCACACCATTCCATAAGCAGCCGTCTCAGGTCCTGTTGTTACATAATGCAGTACAGTGTTGCATTTGGGTAACATGTATGGATATCTGATATACTGTATTGTTGTTTAAGCAAAATAAAATTCAGTCCTAAGAATATAAGTACTGTCCAGTCCCCTTTTAAAACCATCCAAACTGACTGTACTACCACAAACATTGACACTGACTTCTGAAATTTACCTATTTACAGTGTCAAAAAGAATTTACTTCTGTTAAGGAAGGAAATTATCTCCATATAATTTTTATTCTCCAAGTCTTTGGAGAGGTTATTTTGCCAATTTGTAAAAGTATATTGCCAATGGAGTTATACATATGATTATGCCAATACTGAATTTTAATTTAAAGAGAAACCAGATGATGATGATTAATAGCAATATGTACATTTCAGGAACATGGCAACATATACAAAACAGAGTTGTATTGGCTCCAGTTCCAGACTTATTTTCAAAAATTCTGTCATACCTACATGTAGAAGAAAGAGACAAATAAGTCAAAATTTCATTAAATATTAAGAGTAGTGGGATTGAAAGAAGTCAAGTCAGGAACATTGATTTTTGGTTTGTTTGGATATAATTTTGTTATGCAAAAGTTTATTTTGTTAGAATATAGCACTCTCCCAACCCATTCTGCCATTTCTTTTCATAGATTTTTTAGATATATAATAAGATGCTAGCTAACCTCAGCAAGAGGAAACATCAAGAGAGTAGCTGATCACAAACTCTCACTAGTAGAAACACATAGGTGAAGAAGAGAAACTTTGAAAAAAAAAACAAGCAATTATTTCTTATATGGAGAACTAGGTTGAAGAAGCAGTGAAGTAAACAAGCTGTAATGTGGTGTTGAACTCAAAAGAGAAGAAGATAAAACACACACAAAACAAAGAGGAAGAAGAACTGGTCTTCCTCAGCAAACATCGTCACCTGATCCAGTTTCTGAGCATATCGACACTTACCAATTAAACTGGTCCTACCCTGTAGGAGGCAGTATTCATGCTGTCTGTCTTAAGAAGATCCTGTCTGCTCTAAGGCACTTTGGCAACAGCTTGCAAGGGATTCTGAACAGCAGGCTATCCCTTCTTTTCACTGGACAATTTTCCAGCTGCTATGCCTTCCCAGCTTTTTCTTCCAGGAAAGCAATTGCCAATCTCTTTCCTGTGGGTGGCACTTCCTAGACATTTACACCTCTGTCTGTGTCTATGTGTGTGTTTGGGCTACATAGAAGATGAAGGTGAAATCCTTATACCACATGTGACTGGACAAATTAAGGGGAAAAAAATCACAAGGAAAGTAAGAAGCTCAGGGAAAGAAAAATAGCAATTTTTAAAAATGTGCTGGGTTTAAAAAAAAACCAACCTTTTGTTTACAAAGGCAGAGCTTTAGCCAGTGTGCTATTACAGCATTCACAGTAAGTACTTGAAGATGTATTAGTGGCTACAGTAACCACTAACTCAACTGAAGAAGTTTCTGTCTCTGCAAAGTAGCCAAGGGATTAGTCTATAATAAACTGGGCAGAAATGGGCAGACATTTCTGAGATGACATAACATGGGAAACTGTACTTCAGAAGTAGAGCATAAAAATGTGTCCTGAGATTGTTTTGACATTGAGTGGGTATCAGTAGAGGGCAATGTTATCAGTTATTATCCTCCAGGAATGGTTGCAGATCCATTCTAGTGATGTGGCAACTGGGTACTGCAGAAAAGCCTTCTGAGAGATTGAGAAAGCACTAAGTGACTTTGCGATGGATGGTGAGAACTTAACATCAGCCTACAGATTGAATCTTCCAACAAAATCTTGACATACTTTCCCCTATCCTGCTGTCCCCTTTCCCTCCCCCCTTCTCTCCCCCCTCACCTTTTGGATTACTTCAATCACATACCAATTCTTAGATGCTAAATTTTGTAATCTTTTAAGTAGCTAAGTAAAGAAACAAGGAGAATAAGATCTGTTGTGATTCTCAAAGCTTGTGCATATAGTCAATATCTTCTTAGTCAAAGAATAGAAAGGGGTGTAATTTGAATGTTTGTGGCATGGCCACAAATCAGAATGGAATCTGATTGTGTGAAAAATACAATAAATGCAAGACATTCAGCAGAGAAATCCTTGGAATGTGTAGCTGACTGATGGACCTCAGTAGTTAAACGTGGGAAAACCCCAAGGGGTATTCCCAGAATAATGGATTGACTGACAAATCTACTGTAAATGTGGGATAAATTGAAAGTGATTCCTAGATGTCAGGGGCGGCAATTCCACAATGGATGTAGAAGACCCAGACAGGTCATCTTTTGTAGCATAGGTTTCACTTTTGTAACATAGGTTTCACTTACAAATCCTTAGTAAATGCAGAATAAGTGAAAAGAGATTCCTGTAGGGTCAGTTCAATTAATAAATCTACAGTAACTTAAGTGAGTGGAAAGAAAAGACAGCATAAAGGTACACCTGACACTCAAATTGTATACCATGGGGTCTAGCTAAGGCAGGAATCAATGGGCAAATGCCTTCTCACTTATACATTTAAAGGAGGAGCCTGAGTCCACTCCATCCAAAACAGTGAATTTTACATGTTCGAAGGAAGTCTTCATACTTACTGTGTTGAAGCTCCACAACTTCAGGTATGGTCAAACTTTAGAGGGAGTCTCTTCACTACTCCTAAGGTCCCCAAACCATGAACAGCAAGTTTAGCAAATTCCCTCTCACCTTAAATTAACTTATAGCAACCTATATCATTTAAACTTTTCTTCATCCTCAGGTGTAATATACAGTGAAAGGCAGAGAAATGGTGTGTCTTTTTTGTAGCCTGCAAAAACGACTGATAAACATTCCTACCTCAAGAGCAGGATGGTGAATGCCAAAGTTCTACAAAAAAGGGCCAGAAATTGAAAGGCAAGAATTTACAAGTTCAAACTCCAGCCTCCATTTGTTTGTATGTGGATATATTACTTATGCTTGCCACTCCCACTCCATTTTCAAGGGCAGTACAATACTAATTCTACACAATTGCCTGCACGACTATGAGAGGAGGGCATATTTAATCAGAATGCAAGAAGGATGTAAGGATGCAGGACCAAACAAATCAAAGGCCTAGAATGGGGAGATCTTATCTTTATTACTCGTAGCCTGAGCAATAGCCAAAGATCTTCTGGTGAATGAGCCAAATGTATTGTGGAACTGTGACAGAAAGGCATGATAGGACTTGATATGGATAGGAATGATAGTAGTTTAATTCATTTTTAATTCATACTTGTTTAATTCTTTATGTAAAATGGATACTTGCTTAAACAACTTGTAGCAACAGGGAGTTGGATGGAATGAAATGCAGACTTGCGTATAACATATAAGAACAAAACATTTATACTTTAGATAAATTAGCACCTGAATCTTTGCTGCATGTGGCCAAGAAAACTTGTCATATCTGACTTTTCGAAGCCCCTTAAGATACCCCTTGGTAGGCATATATAAATATCTATTTGTGTTTTCAATACTTTATACGCTACACCATGTTTTCCTATGTCAAAAACCTAGGATTTTGGTCATTTGAAGACTATGCATGACGCAAACATTAGCTAGAGTACAGCATGAAATATTGTCTATGAATTCCAATAAGTGTTGTCTCTGAAGAGGACTTCTCAGAATTGTGGGACTCTTTATGGGTATTTTAGCAGAGATGATGCTTGTAAGTAATCTCATTCTAAAGTACTTCATTTTCAAGAATACACTTACATCACTAATTGTTTCCACAGAAAGTGGTGTTTTAATGCTGCAAGTTTCCGTCTTGCTTCCCCTCCCTTTCCCTCTGCCTCACTTGAGGGCTTCTGTTTCATTCAAAAGAATTTCCTTCTTTTTAGGTTAAGTTTAAGAATTTATTTTAATTGCCACAGCTGCCATTTTTCAAGATGTGATTTCAAGAAAGAATGATACAAACTTTCACCACATAATTTTCTGATTATCAAATACTGGTTTTCCTGAAATACTTGTCAATTCATCTTTTTGTTTGTTTGTTTGTTTGTTTGTTTCACATAAACATTCGTTTTCTAAATTATGCATTCTACTGTCTTTGAGTAAAACTTTGGGAATTATACCCTAGCAGTGTGTAAAACTAACACAAAGGGGGAGGTGAAGCAGTGGTACAAGCTTCAGAGAGCAGTATCCAGAGAAAGGCTTTGAAACAGAGTAAGGACTGCATAGGCACACGCCCCCATGAATGGGAAATTCCTCTGAGAAACTGGCTCTTTTATATTAAGAGGCTGATCCTCTACAGTCCCAACAGGCCAGCGCAAGTAACGAACAAAACAAGAGCTGAAATTGATCAAAAATGTCTGAAGGTCTAGGTTCCAGATCAAAAGACTGCTGCTTTGAAACTCTTCAGGAAGACGCTGGAGGCTCAAGAACAAAATGAAACTTCAGGTGAGTTAAAGCTTTCTATTCTTAATTAATCCATGGGAGTCTATGGTGACCTCAGGCATCAATGAGGCTTCAGATCTGGAGTGTAAAGGATACTATCTGCTGTCACGGTTAGGTAATACGTAAGGTTGTCTTAATTAACCAAAACCATTAATGAAAACCATTCCATTCAGCAGCCACACAAAATCTTATTTTGGTAGCCATCATATCTGTTTTCTTTGATATATTAATTTCTTAGCCAAGGTCCCCTGCCAAACCCTGAAAACCTAGTGATGAAGAATGTAGTATTTAAGCAAACCTTTTCACTGGTTGTATCCTACTTCTCTTTGTTATATATATGTTATATAGCAGGGTTCCTCAACCTTGGCAACTTTAAGACGGGTGGACTTCTGGGAGTTGAAG